ACCACTGAGGAATTGAGGCGGCCCATTAAGGGGATGTGCCCAGCAGTGCACTTGTTTCCTGTTTTCTTACACGTCATTTAGAGACACAAGTGTATTTGGCCTGGTTGAAAATTTCACATCTGTAAGGCCTTTTCCCCATGCAGATGAACACACCAGCCAGAGAAAAGCGAAGATCCCAGTTAACAGTAGATCCTAAAGAGAGTAATACATGTTTATTGAAATATATATATAAATAATTAAATGTATTATAAATAATATTATTATTGTTCTAATATGCCAGTCAAATGTTTGGAATAATTACGATTCTTAATGTTTTTGAAGTCTTGCGTTTACCATGGCTGCATTTATATAATTAAAAATACTGGAAAAAAAACTCTAATGAAATGAAATATTAATACAATTTAAAAGAACTGTTTTCTTTTTAATTTTTATTTGAAATTTAAATATTTTACATTTTAATATATTTTACTTCAGTCTTTTGTGTCACATGATCTTTCAGAAATAATTCTAATATTCTGATTTGATGCTCAAGAAACATTTCTGATTATTATCAGTGTTGAAATCAGTTGATTATTTAATGTGGAAACGGTGATCACATTTTATCAGGATTTAAAAAAAAATTTTTTTATGAATATTAAGTTCAAAAGAACTGCATTTATTTTCTTTTGTAACATTATTTCTTTCTTTATGGTCACTTTTGCTCAATTTAACGTGTCCTTACTGAAAATACTAAAAGTATTAATATCTTCTTTTAATCTCTTTTTTAATCTTATACCACAAATGTTTGAATGGTAGTGTATGACGGCTTCCATAAAAGATATTTAGCAACAAAAACTGTTTTCAACATTGATAAAAATAATAAATGTTTCTAGAGGACCAAATTAGTACATTAGATTGATTTCTGAATAATCATATGACACTGAAGACTTAAGTAATTGCTGCTGAAAATTCAGCTTTGCCATCGCAGGAATAGTTTACAGAAAATAAGCATACAAGACTTCCTTCAGAAACATAAAAAAATCTTAATTATTTCTTAATTATCTTTGTTTGGAATAACAGTTGCAGCTGTTGTCAAAAAAACCCACCCCGTTTCTTCATTTACACACAAGTGGAACTCTTCACACCCCCACACAGTTCAGAAACAGCTCACAAAGTTCATACAACCAAGTGATGCTGAAATCCAGCATAATATTGAACAGACTAATATAATGACAGGAAGTGTATAAATTAACCTATCAGACATGCAGTGGCTGGCATTCATTTCCCACACAACGTCTGAGTCAGCCATTGAATATAAAAAGGGATATGAATTTAAAGGCATGCACAGACATAGTGGAGGTTTACGAACGCACACAGAACTCTTAAAATAGATACAGTGTTAACCTGAATCTATAAACACTCACAATGTTGGGGCCACGAGGAGATTCACGGTAGACGTGCTGGTAACCCAGATACAACACAAGAGTAGTTGTGCTGTATAGGAAAGCCAGAACTCCAATAGCTACAAAAAACTCAGCGGAAGATGAATAATCTCCAGTCAGTCAGTTGTTTGGTTTTAGACACTGTTCCGTTGACTTCGCAGTCTGGGACACTGTAACTCTGGGTATTCAGCCTTTGTAACAAAGAATAATAAAAAAAGGAAATTCTGAAAAATATATTGATTAAAAACAATGCGTTTCATATGTACGTGTTAATCATATTGTTTACCCAAACGGATAGCTGAAGTTTACATTTATTTATTTGCTGGCACTGTACTTGCACTTGATGTTGAAACTGGTAGAGCCAGAATAACCCCCAGTTGTAGCAAAAGCAAAAATAGCAAATATCTGTAAAGACAGTTAGTGAAAACAGAGGTGGAATGAATGAATGAATGTTTACAGGAATAATATAGTAAAAACTGAAACCAAACGAAGCGTGCACATGATTAAGCAGAACTAAACCAGCATATGAAGAAATGCGAATAATTTTCAAATAGTCTGAATCATCATTAAAAGCCTTACATTGCATTCTGCTTTCTCTTTTTAATGGTATCTTTTTCAAAGGAGAAATGCTTATTGTGGGTTTTAAACACCTTAAAATCTGTATTATGGTAATATCTGGTGCTTACCTTAAATAAGGAGAATGAGAGCGGCATGGTACATAATTGGTGACTTCAGTTATGAGAATAATGTATACATTTTGATGTACCTACACAGAGTAGCTTAAAATCATAAGTACATTAACTGAGAAGTACGTACCCATTCCAGGACACGTATAAATCCCAGGGGCTCTTTCAGAGGGCTGAGATCTAACCGAAACCCGCTCATCATGCTCTGCAAATAAAAAAGCATCAGTAGCGGTCCATCAAACAACCGTTACAACTGTCGGGAAACGGTGCGATAACCATGAGAGTTTCTCGAAAACTCTTTTCTCACCAATTTCATCATATCTAAAAAAAAAAAAGTTGCATTTTAGTTTAAGCGAATTGCATTGTGTAAACCATGAAGTGCTGAGAGTTTTGCTGCACTGAAGAAAAAGGAAGATTGAGAAAGATTACCTTGTCTAGTCCCCAGACAAATAGCTATCAGACAAAATTGCCAAAGTTCCTTTCCCTTTTCTTGTTTTTGCGACATGGTTTTGACCACGTGATTCGTGACGTGGTACCATCACCCAGACAAACTGACTGAGGCATGGGCGAGCTAAAGGGGGAAAAAATAACTTTTCGGTTACAAATGATCTTCTCGTCATTAAAATTTTTTTTTTTTATTTTAGCTTGCAGAAATATTTTCAAGCTTACAAACTGTATTGTGCATACATGTTGGAAGATATTATTTGGTGACATTTCTGGGAGTTTGATTTAGTCATTATAAAATTGATATAAATAAGTTTTAAACGTGATTTAGGCTACTGTAATTTGACCACAAGAGGACGCTCTTACCTAGATGTAGTTCTCACCCGAGGTAGCTCATTGATGTTCCTTATTAAGTGTAAATCTGGCTTTTGCAATGAATAGCCGATACCATATTTTAATGTTTGTAATTGCAGACTTTTTAACAAATTGGTATTAATATTACGTTAAATAATATTATAAATGTACCTTTTTTCCTTAGGCATTTTTTGCCCTGTCCCCACTTCTGTTTATACCTTCTTGCTATTAGCAAATGCACGTTTTGATGGAAACAAAGGAACAAGAAATATTTAAGCAATGCTATATCCTAAAATTTGTGAATTTGGTTTAAAATGACACCACACATTACCGTAAATAGTTCACCCAAAAAGGACAATTCTGTCATCATATACTCAAACTGTTGACGGTAGCCATTGATTTCCATAGCATGGAAAAATACTATAGAAAACTATAGAAGTCAATGGTTACCGTCAACTGTTTGGTTACCAGCATTCTTCAAAGCAGGAGTTTTGTGTTCAACATTTACATTTAGTCATTTAGCAGACGACTTACAAATGAGGACATTGGAAGCAATCAAAATCAACAATTTTGATATGCAAGTATAACAAGTCTCAGTTAGCTCAACGGAAGAAAGAAGCTTGTACAGGTTTGGAGAGTGAGTCACTTATTACAGAATTTTCATTTCTAGGTGAACTTTCCCTTGTTTCCCATGTTGTGTAAAGCAATGTTGAGTGAACATCATTAACATACGGATGGCCTAAAATTCACAACTGATGGTGAAAAAGAACAGAGTGTCATTGGGAGTTTCTTTTCAGTAAAGCTAAAAGCTTTTTTGTTTTTATCTTAACTTTGAAAAGTTGCCTAGCTCTCAATGGATAGGAGGTGCCCAGACAGTCACTACTGAGGAATTCAGGTCACACCATCTTTACTTGTGTGACAGGTTTTTCCACCCATGCAGAATTGTATTATGCACTGCCAAGTTAAAAAGGCATTACTGTAGTCACATTGGGCTGACATTTAGAATTATAATCTTCCTTGCAAAAGCAATGATGTCCATACTTCACTTCTTTAGTGAATAGCAAAATGTTATCCGCTAATAGAAGAGACAGGATGATATGAATAGGAAGCACGTGGCTCTCGGCCAGCAGTGCAGATCTAGAATAAGCATGACTGCAGATCAGAATTACAGAGAACTGATGGGAGTCACAATAAGCCTTTTTTTCTGTGTCACATGGTTTGTGATCATGGGATAGGCTATTCCATGCCAGAGCCTGCCATAATCACATGTACACTCACAAAATAAGTGATAATGTAATAGAATATTCTATGATTTGGTACATAAATACACTGTAAGAATGTATGTGAAATGTTATTTAACTTTAACACATTGAATGCTGAAATCTAAACTGCTAAACAGTTTAAAAGGACAAACAGTGTTAAAACTGATCACAACTAAGCAACTGACCCTTGATGCACATTGGAAGACTACACTAAATTTTCGATTGTGATCTCACTGAGAATGTATTGACAATATGAGTCATGCATTTGCTATTGTTTAGACACATGAAATTATTTTGCTGGCGTAAAAATCATAGACTGGGTAAAAATAAGTAGAGCATGTTTGCAGCTGAAGTATGCAGCTTGTTATTGGACTTGTTAGGAAACTGCTTGTGCAGCCATTTTAATGAGGAAGATCATGCATGGCTTTGGTCGCATTATTTGAGAAGTGCATAGGCAATAAAAAATACTCGAATAATTTGAAAAAGCATAGCAGCATATCTTGCAATATCTTTACAGGTAAACTTTTTCATATTAAATAGGTCTAAATGAAAACGGGATCACTGACATTATGAGTGTATAGCCGTTATATTGATATATCACCGAAGATAATTTTACGTATGAAACGCAAGACTCATGTTTAAACATGATTCTGTCCTCTGAAGTGTGACGTGTCAAACTAACTTGACCGCACGGGCTCACAGCAGCGGTATGTCCAACCTCAGACCAATCAGAAAATCGCACCAGTCGCTGCAGCCAATCAGGTGCAGGCCCTGCAAGGTGCATTCTTTTCACCGTTATTTATTTATTTATTTATTTTTGGTTGCTCTTTTTTTTGGAAGTGTTTAATACGAAATACTGTCAAGGATACAGTCTGTTAAAGCAACTTGGTTGGTCTGCAATTTTATTTGCGAGCTTGGGAATTATCAGTTGTCATTGATCAAATAAAAAAGGGCGTTGATGTGCTCTCTAATAATATGAGCGGTAGGGACCTTTCGCTGTCACAGGCAGTCTGTTTTTGTTGATACCGTCAGCAGCCGCTCAGGAGGGAGACACAGAGGAATTAATGCGTATTTAAACAGCAACACAGTCGTGTTGGAAATACACTGAAGACGAAAAATGAGAGGCCTAGGATATTTTATTGCACTTTTATTCTTTCCCATGACATTTGGTGTGGATTTCCATGTGGAACCAAGATCGTATAACGCGCACCGGGTGTATGTGAAGTCTCCCGTAGCCGCCAGAAGTCTAATCGGGACGGGATCGGATGCAGATATTTCTCGTATCCACCATCACATCCAGAAAAGGAGCGCAGATGATGGACCAGACTCCTGTAATGGGTTGGATGGATTTGAGACCAAGTTAACTAGCAATACGCACAACGTAAGTTCACTCGAAGCACCGATGCAGCGATGCAGTTGTGTCTCAAAACCTAGGGATCTTCCCCTAACCCTAACTAGACAGCATTTTTGACAACATATGTGCGTTCAATCCGAGAGTTCTCATGGAAAACCGTTGAAATATTTATACCTTAAAACTAACTAGTAAATGTTTTTATGTAATGTTTTATGCAAATGTTTATGTTAACACTTATTTAATTTCTAGTGAGTAGCTCAATTAATGACTAACATTGAAATATGATGATTGGTATCAAATGAAAATGAAGTAATATTTCATAGTAGGCTATGTAATGAATAAGGACTAGTAACTAGTAAGTTAACAGTAAAAATAGTACTAGTTGTTTCTAAATAATACATGTTTAAATGTTCTTTAAAGCTCACTAGATTATGTAAATAATTGTAAAATGTGACTGAAACTGCAAATTTTCCTTTTTCACTAGAACATTTTCAAAACGAAAGTACTGTTTGAGTGATACAAAGACGCATACGATTGTATTGTTCTTATTTTTTCTGTGGTTACAATCATAGCCCTCAGAATACGTTTTCTTTTTCATTTCTGTTTTTATAACTATAAAATATTAATGGTTGTGTTTGAAGTTCCTCTTTGACAAGTAGGTGTAGTTTAGATTGCATAAGTTGTAGAACCAGTTAAGCTGGTATGACAACCTGCTTAATTATCCTTTTCCCAACCAGCTAGGCCTTTTTAATGCATGTTAATTTTTACTGAACCATATACTTTACAATACAAGCAAGTCTTAATTATACAAAATGGAACAGTGAATAACACTGACACTAGTCATTGCAATGTAAAATGACTTCCTTTTCTCAGAAATATTTTTGGTTGCTTCTTGTCAGATGAGCTGAAACAGTCAAGATGTGTTTGAGGGTTGGTTGAAGCTTCATCATCTCACCTCTACTTCACCAACCCTCGGATAAACTTCCTGTGCTTATTACTCACAGATGTGTTAACCTTTTTAAAACAGTTCTACTGTGGTTTGTCTTTCTGTAGAAGGTTATCATGAATTTACAAGAGGTGACAGGAACTACCACAGCTGCGTTAATCAACAGAAAACAGTCTCAAAGTGTTTTAGGATTATACTCGCACTGACCTTTCGGTCTTTATATAGTGTTTGGATATATGTTCAATTCTAGACAGGGTTCAAAAACACTAGATGGGATTAGAAGATTTAACACTTATTTAAAGGGTCACAGATGAAGCCCAGAGCAAGAAAGTGAAAGTATTTTAGTCACTTTACTTCATTCTTTCCAGGTGTACTGTGGAGAAATGAGAGAAGAGATAGTCAGAAAACTAGCGATTTGAGATTTTCATGAGACACATTTGCTTTAACAGCGTAATGGAACTATGTCATTTGACTTTTTAAACAGATCGATGATACATCATCTTTTAAAAAAAACACAAATTACAAAACATCTAAACCAGTAGTTCTCAAAAGTGGGTCTGGGGCCGTTTTCAAAAAGGGGTTTGGAAGTTTAATAGTTTATTTAAAAAATAATAATTTACATTTAAAAAAAAAGAACTTTTAAAATGACAAAAATCAAGATCTAAATGGAAATAATTTATTTTTCACCCCAACAAATTATTAATTTATTGAAAAACATGCAAAACCTGAATCTTGAATCTTATAGAATAACAAGTTAAATTGTTTAATGATTTTAATATATCAACCCCCAGTTTCTGTTCATAAAAAGTTTGTCATAATTACAGCAGAAATACCATAGGGAAATATCTTCAAATAGTGTGTTATATTTACAATGGGGGGCCTTCAATCAAAAAGGTTGAGAGACACTTGCCGTATCTAAACTAAACAGATGAAAATATAATACCGTGTTCATATACCATCTTCAGTTTCACAATTTATTCCAGTTTTTTTCATCTCTGTAATTTGTCAGATCAGTCTTCATTGCACTATTTTGAGTTCCACGGTTAATTGTTTTGAATATAGTTGCTTGGTTTCTGATTCAGTGTTTTGGTTAAGGTTAGCATGTGTTTTGCATAGGCTAATAGTATCTTTCTAGGACATCATGCAATAAAACCCTTAATGTGTGTAAAAACTCTTATAGTTTATCCGTGATGATGCACTTTCAGTATTGCTTTTGTTTAATATTAATAAAATGTGTTTCTTTCAGTTTACCTTTCAAGATATCAGTCGGTCTGTGTCTCTGGCCTGGGTGGGGGATGGAACTGGGGTGAGTTTCACTTTTGATTAATTATGTGTACACACTATCATATGCTTACCGTTCTGAGATGAAGTCGCCGGAAGAACCTTCCACCATGCTACAAGTTTCATTCAAGGTTAGATGAGGACATTTTTAGCTTTAGGTTTAAATTTAGACTCTCTAGATAATCTTCCCAGATCTCTTTGGCTGTTCACAAGGCTCACAAAGACACATAAACACAACTATCAATATGGCCAAATGCAAACTCATAACCAGTTTGACCTCTCTCATGCCCCAGTACACATTCAAGGCCATGTCGAGAAGTCCTTATTTTTACTCTGCCCATTACTGCAATAAAAACAATACATACACTACCATTCAAAACTTCAGAGTATGTAAGATTTTTTTGTTTTTTAAAAGAAGTCTCTTATGCTCACCAAGACTGCATTTATAGGATCAAAAATACATTAAAAACTGTAATTACAGTTAAAAATAACTGATTTAATATATTTTAAAATGCAACGGCATTACTCCAGTCTTCAGTGTCACATCATCCTTCAGAAATCATTCTTATATGCTGATTTGCTGCTCAGGAAACATTTCTTGAAAATTTGTGTCAAAGTAAACAACTGTCTTCATGTCTCAATCTTAGGTAGTGCTGGCCCTGACAACATTTCAGATGCCAATAGTCTTCCTGCGATTCGGTCAGTCTAAACTGTACAGAAGGTGAGTGCTGGTTTTAATCGTGTGTTTGTTTTTGTAATACCAATGTAGTATTTGATTTACTTAATTTATTTCTCAATCCTCCACTCTTTGTGACAGTGAAGACTATGGAAAGTCGTTTGAGGATGTCACAGAACTTATCAACAACACCTTCATCAGCACTGACTTTGGGATCGCTATTGGTCCGGAAAGCTCTGGCAAGGTGGGCAAGACATATCCAGCGTTTCAGTAATTTCTCCCTGTAAGCCCACGTGAGCTGGGGAGCTGTTGTGTTAAAGATGTTTCTCAGACTGCTGAATTGGCCTGTAGATATTTAAATGCAGCATGTCAATCACAGTAAAAATAGACCAGCTGACCTGTCTGTTCTTTGCTGATGTTTCAATACTCAATGCAATTACGCAGATATGTGACAGCACTTTAAAGTCCTGATATTCTTTCCCACAGGTGATCCTCACGGGAGATGCTTCCGGAGGCAGTGGTGCCAGAATTTTCCATTCAAGAGATTTTGGCAAGAGTTTCATCCACACAGAATTGCCCTTCCACCCACTAATGCAGATAATGTACAACCCTCAAAACTCAGATGTTCTTGCAGCCATCAGCGTCAGGGTGAGAGACTTTAAAACATTGGT